CCAGAGGAGACTGGATGATGCCAAGGAGCTGAGGAAGCCCCAAATCTCTGCTGCAGGGGCAGCCAGGATCCCCTACCTCCATCTGCATGGAAGCCTGCAGGCTCACCTCTGAGTCATGCTTGCCTGTAGGGTGCCCTCCTGATTCTACAGCTCCCTTAAAAGGATCACCCACCACACACCAGAAGCCACCACTCTCAGCCTGGCACAGAACACCAGCCACCCCCTCATTACTCATAGAAACGGATGACGAAGACTGACATCCTGGGCCGCAAGGCAATGCACAGGAATGCAAGCTTCCTGCTCCCTCTTTGACGATGGCTCCTCAAAAGGATGTTTTCACCCTCCCTGCCCTTCATGCCTTATGATCCATTGAAGACTGCAGTGAGCAAGAACCAGGCTAAGAAAAATGAAATGACTTTGCCTATAACTTCACAGTGACCGCCACCTGGCCAGTGCTGGCTGGTGAGCCCCCTGCCCTCAGCACCAGCTTCTAGGTCTTGGGCTCCCATTGGTCCCTCTGAAGAGGACCACTCCTGGTTCCCCACACATGCCTGTCTGGGCTCCTCCTGTCCGTGCTCAGGTTTTACTGCTTCAGTTGTTCCTACGACATGGCCTCCTGAACACCCCATCTAACATGGGCATGACCCAAGCAAGCCAGCTCTAAGCAGTTCTCTAGGAGAGTGCACACACATGCACACACATGCACACACATGCACAGGAAAACAGCCGGAACCGAGAAGGCAGGTGTGGAAAGCCCAGGCCCAGAGAGAAGCATCCAGGGCTTAATAGGCCAACAGCACCTACCCTTTCTTCAGGTTCTTCACATACGCACTCTGGAGGGCAGCTTCCAAGAAGTAAGTGAGTTCATAGTCAACTGAGGGGCTGCCTTTTAGGTGCCGAGATGCGCTGTTGTTTGAAGTCTGAGGAGGAAGAGTAAAGGTACAGTGTTATCCAGGAGTTCAGAGGAAGCTTGCCAGGACGTCAGGTGAAAAGCACATGATGGCTATGAAAATGAGAACTGGAAGGAGCTCCTGACATCGCTGTCCATCCCTGATCCCAATGACCTTTCGAGGGTCAACTCAACCAAATCTCTGAGCAGCCTCTGCCAGAAAATGGGTACTGAGGCCTGACTGTAATCTCTCTTCTTTTCTTGATAGCCAACCAGGTCAAGAGGCTCCATATCAGGGCGATTTGGCCCTCCGAGGACATCTGGCTGTTCCAATTTGGGGTGTGAGCTGCTAAAATCATATAATATTAGGGTGGCTCTCATAGTAAAGAAGATTCCAGACTCAAAAGTCAATAGCACCGGGGTCAAAAGTCTGTTGATTAATGACATGATTGGCCCAAGGTAGACTATTCTGGAAGGGCCAATTCTGAGAACAGGTGGCAGCTAACTCTGCCATTTACACAAAGATGTTTAGCTATCGTCTGGGGCTATTATGGGTCTCAGTTCCCATCCATCCCTTCCTTCATGGACCAATTCTAATTCACTCTGCTAAAGAATCTTCTACCTGCTGGGCAGTGGTGTTGTGCGCCTTTAATATCAGCACGCAGGAGGCAGAGTCAGGTAGATTTCTGAGTTCAAGGCCAGCCTGGTTCACAGAGAGAAAGTTCCTGAACAGTCGGGGCTACACAGAGAAATCCTGTCTCGAAGGTGGGGTGAGGGGGAGCCTTCTATCTCACATTGACTCAATGTTCACAAAACATAATTTCTACTTGCGTACCACAAAGCTACACACAAAAGTTAGAGATTAGGCCCTGGCGTCCCTGCCAAAGCTGCTCATTGACTGCATGAGCTCGGGAGGCTGTGTAACTTCTCTCTAATCTTGACTCTTCATCTATAAAGTGGGAACAATAGCAGCACCTATTGTACCCCCTCACTGGGGGTTAAGTGACAAGATGCATGTAAAGCCCTCAGAGCACGGCATGACATGAAAGTAGTTCCTCAATACAGGGAGGAGCTGAGATCCCCACGAGGCACACTGGGAAGGCAGGAACTGTGGGGCTGAGAACTTGCTCAGATCCAGCTGCCTGCCTCTGCTCACCTCTGAAAAGTTTAGAGAATGGGCACCATAGCCCATCTTCTCTGGAATTCAGCAAAGCTCTCCTGAGGTTCCAGAAAGCAGGGAAGGTTGACAAAGGGCAAGAGTCAGCATGACAAAGGGCAAGAGGAGCATGCTGTCCAGGAGCTCCTGACATAGCCGGGGTTTGATCTCTCTAAACTTCATTTACTACAGGACGGCCTTTGACGCCTCTGGCCCAGGGCTGCTGTGAGGAGTGATCAAGTGAATACATAAACAGGCCGTCACATCTGGCCGGCACACAGAGCTCACCGTGGGGTTCTCGTGTGACACAGACCCACTTATTTATTAAAAGTCTCCCCTGTGGTAGAGTCCCTGACAGAGCCAGGGCACCTTGATGATTTCTCCAGCCAAAGGAGTGGCATGTCGGGAGCGGAGGTGCCTTCTTCTAGTACCCGGTGTGGCCAAGAGAGAGCAGCTGCTTGGATAGCACCCCTATTCCCCGCTCACCTTCTCCAGCTCCTGCAGGAACACCTGAGCCACCCAGGAGGCCCTCTCAAAACAGGCAACCACTTCCTCCTCCCGCTCTGTCAGGCGGATGTGGGAGGCGATGGAGTTGGGCAGGCGTTCCAGGGAGAGGCCTGCGGAGAAACAGAGAGCCTCAGACCTGCCCTGCTTAGGCCTGGACTCCAGGTCTTTCTCAGGCACAGGGTAGGTGCATCCGAGGGGATGTATGACATGGAGCAGCCAGTGGGAGGCTGAGGTCCACGGAGCGGAGGGGAAGCTGAAGCAACAGTGGTGTTAGCAGCAGCTGGGAGCAAGCGATGAGCCAAGAAAAGGCACTGGGGCCCCACATCATGTGCCACCATCATGGTCCTACTGTGCCGCCCCTGCCCATTACACAAGTACAGCAGGCAGAAGATCAGTCCCGTGGAGCTCACTGCTCACCTCCAGGCAGTTATCCGTGTTGACATGCTATCTGCTTGCAGTGGATACCTGCGGCTCTGTCCCTGTCTTTCAGCGGCGACAACCCGCTTTTCCTCTGACCACCCTTCATTGTCTCAGCATGAGGACATGGTGACAAACTACGGGTAGCAACATGGCTCCATGTGGGCCAATGAGACCCAGTCTCCTAATTGCTACTCATGTCACTGGCATTGTTAAAGGGGTGCCAGTGGCTAACCTGGAAATGCGAGAGAAAAATCTGCCTTCAAAAACGTCTTGGGCTAAAGAAATTCAGAGCATTTGTTGCTCTTCCAAAAAGCTGTAGCGCATCCCACAATGTTCTATAACTCCAGTTCCAGGGGAGCCAATGCCCTCTTCTTACCTCAGCGAGCATGCACAAGCACATAGACATACATGCAGGCAAAACACTCATACACATAAAATAAGTAAATCTTAAAAAAAACTGTTTTATATCTAGCCATACTGGGTGACATATGCTTATAATCTCAGTACTCAGGCAGTACTTAATACTGCGGCAGGAGGATCATGAGTCTGAGGACTACCTAAGACAATTTACTAAGACCTCATCTCAAGAAAAAAAAAAAAACAACCAAACAAAATGATGTCCACACAGAGTGAATATAAATGACACTACTCAACTGCATACCTTAAAATAAAATTTTATGTCATGTCACTTTCTTTGCCGCAGTTAAAATGTCTTTAAATTAGTTAAGCATATAGCTCCAAGGGTCAAAGAAAAGTTAATAAACCAATCTGCAAAAGACAAAGAAGGAAAAGCATTCTTAGACTGTTGGGGGTTGGAGAGAGAGAAAGCCCGCACAGAATAATGATCAGACATGTCAGAAAAGCGCAGATTCTAAAACAGTGTTGGGACGGCCAGGACGCCACCTTCTCGGAAGCCCCACCTCCTAGAAAAGTCCGTGTGCGAGCCAACATCCACCCACCCACATACGCGCTTTTTTCCTTTCTTTGCTTTGTCAAAGTTGGTTTACTGAACCCTTTCTGCTGCTTGCAGCTAACACAGACCTGACTAGAGAATGCCGCCCCCGGGACTTGGGTTTCCCAATGGGCAGAACCGGTGTGTCTCTCGTCTCCGTGCCCCACGCTACCTTGTGTGCAACAGATACCCAAGTCAATTTATTCATGGGAAAGATTAAGAACACAGTCCTCTAAGCCTCCACCCCCTTCTCTAAGCTGAATGTCTCCAGCGGGTGGCCACAGAGGACTACCTGTGGTCTCACTTCACTCTAACCCAAACTGCTTCCAAGGGGACCTTTCCAAAGTCCCCAAGGGTGCTTCCTGCCTCAGAGGAGGTCTAAACTAGGGGTGCTTCACCCAATGTCCACCAAGAGTTATCCGATCACCTTTCCAACATCTTAGCTTACCCTACCTGCTTCTTCCACCCCAACTTCCTGCTCTCAACTGTGGGCAATGCCATCCTGGCTTGCTCAGGTTGTTCTTCCCACCTGGATTTCACCACCCCACCAAGTTCACGAAGCTACTGATCATCCTCTAACCTACTGAATGCCACCTCCTCTCTGAGGTTCTTCCAGACTCTCCTCTCGGTCATGGCTTATACGTCTCATCTCTCACTGCTTCTTATACTCATTTCTCATAGGATCTCCCAAATAGATGGTGGTAGGCTCTTCTTAGCACCAGTTTAATGGCGTTCAACTGTTCTCCATCTGACACACAGTAGGACCAGACAAGCACAGGCTGTCTGGGTGGGAAAAGAAGCCAACCATGGCCCACAAAGTACAAAGTGCTCTGCAAATACAAGGAAAGAAATTAGCATTGTTTTTCTTGGCTCCAATATCAGCACATACAGATTCAGTGACCTCGCTCTCTTGCCAGACTGGGGTGTGACCATGTCCAAAGGCCAGGAACCTCAGTCTGGGGGAAGGTAGGCACAGAATGTGAAGGCCATTGCTCAACACAAAGACCCAATCACCAGGCCACCGAGTGTCAACAGGGTGTCTGCCAAATGACTCACTATGGAGAGCAGAAAGATCTTCACTGCAGGACCAGGGAGGAGGAACAGAAAAACGGGGCAGGAGGCAGGCTCCATGACCTCTCCTTCAGCTGGCCCAGACCTCCTTCCCAGGTGTGCTGCATGTCACCATGCAGGAAGGTAGGACAAGAACAAATTGTTCAAGAAGACCGGCCCAGAAAACTAAGTGCAGGTGACAGGAGCCGGCCAACTCCAAGAGACACAGAGCGGATCTGCTCCAAGGCAGCAGCCGTGTGGCGCCCGGAGATGGGCTATAGTGGACTCCTTTCTGCACACTTCTTGTTCAGGCTGCTGAAGTTTCCCACCGTCTGGCTGCTGCAAAGGTGAACTGAGGACACTGGTATGGGGCCTCCACCTCCACCTTCCTCCCTGTGCTACAATTGTCCCCACTGCCTATCTCCCCATCCCCATCCCTACCCCCAGGGCAAAGCTTACCACCACGCTTTTCCAAGACACTAAGCCCACTGTTTCTAGTAAGCGCAAAGCAAAACTACCTCCTCCCTGAGACCCTCTAATGTTTTCAGTATTGATGGGCAAGGTGACAATATTATCCACAACTCTGAGCACATCTGTGAAAAGCATTTTCTGGACTGGGTAAATGGAGGCAGAAAGACGCACCCCAAATATTGGCAAGACATTTGGGGTGGGTCTTCTATGGGCTGCGATGACAGAACAGCCTGTGGGTGTAATGTGACCCGCAATGGCTTCCTTCCCTTGACATCACAGATTTCTGCTCAAACCTTAAGCTGGGATAGGCTCTTCCTTCCTTGAGCTGCTGTTGTCAAGGCTCTGTCTCAGCACTGAGGAAAGCTGCTAACACCCTCTCCCTCTGACTCAGCGGAGAATGTTAGCTGCGTTTCTGCTTTGTGTTTCTTTTTTCTGGGTGTCTCTGGGGATGGAACCCAGGCAGGCATGCTCTAGGCAAGAGCTCTGCCAGTGCTGTAAATTACCAAACCCTGTATCTCCTGCTCATACTTTTATTCTGGGTTGTCACCGTGCTGTTCCTGATGCGCAAAGTCAGGCAGGCTGACTTAGTGCCTGGCAGGGAAAGGTTCTGCCCTCCATTACAAAAAACAAACAAACAAAAAACTCTTGATGAACCCACTCACAAACTGCGGCAGAACCCCGAGGCCTTGTCAGCCAGCCTAACCTATTTGGTGCGACCCAGACTGCCCCCCACCTGACACTATTTGGTGAGTTTGAGACCCTGTCTCAAAAGACGCTAACTGGCCTTGAGGAAAAAGACCCAAGACTGTCCTCTGGCATGCACATGCATCTGCAGAACACATACGTGTAGTCATGAAATACACACATGCACACAAACACAGACACACATGGATATACACAAACACATACAGAATAACATCTTATAAATTATAATATTCAAATGAAGCAAGCCATCCAAAAGTACACACTACGTGATTTCACATATATGACATTCACTGTACTAGCGAAGGAGAACCAGGGGTCACCTGGGAGATGGTGGCGAGGGTCAGCTGGGAAGGGTGCTGGGAAACGTCCTACGGTGGAGGAACTGCTCTACTTACAGCATGTTGGCTATGTGGGTATTCATACTAGTTCAAGTCATCAGATTATACACTTACAATCTACATGAGCTCACAGATAGAAAATTTTATTTGAAAATAAGGAGATTTGATGTCCTTTTTAAAAAGAAATATAAGTTAGAAGTTAAGCAGATGTGTTCATTGAGGTGATCTTCGACAGGATACCTTTCTTTCTTTTTATTTATTTGTATTTTATGTGTCTGTGAGTTTTGTCTGTATATACGCCCATACATCATGTGTGTGCCTGGTATCTTGGAACTGGAGTTACAGATGGTTGAGAACCACCATGTGGTTGCTGGGAATTGAACTTGGGTCCTCTGGATGAAGAGTCAGTGCTCTACCACTGAGCCATCTCCCTCCAGTTCCTGTAAGATAACTTTCAACATGCTTAAGACCAATAAGGCTCCCAGAGCCAGAAATCCTGGGGTCTGACTGCGAAGAAGGCCTACTTCCTATCCACTGTGTTTGGAAACCCACATCAACTCCTTCTCTCAAGCAGCCAAACAACAGCACAGCACCAGGTCCAGGGGGAGACAAGCAGCCCTTGAGCCCACCTCAAAGGTTCCTGGTGGCTATGGACCAACCCTGTGGTGTAGGCAGAAAGCCAGCAATTCCCTGGCATGGCTTCCTGTACCCCCGGCCGATGGGGACTTTCTGTGAAAACACAAGCCAAGGAACAGGCCCCTTCAAAAGAACTCATGAGCTCCACATTTTCCAGGTCCAGCCCTGGCCTTAGCACCAGGCTGGTTGCAACGCCTTCAGTCTGAGATGAATCATTATATCCCTGTAGCAGGCCTTCCAAAAAGCCCCACCCTTGGAGCCTCGAAGCCTTGGGCCCTGGATACAGAAGTGGAGTCCAGAGCAAAGGAGGCTTCCTTTGCTAAGAAACTCCCTCTCCAAAAAGGTAACATTCTCTATTCTCCCACTCTGCCGGCAAAAGGGCACTACAGCATGTACAGAAGATGTTTGATCTTGGGTTTACCAAGCATGGGCACCCTGAGTGGCTGGGGAGAAGAAAAGAAATTCAATTTATTCTTTAACCTGAAGGTCAGATGGGCAATGGTTGCCACAGATCACACTCAAAAGTGGGCAACTTCTGGGCAGTGGTGGCGCACGCCTTTATTCCCAATCCTTTGGGAGGTAGAGGCAAATGAATCTCTGTGAGTTCGAGGCCAGCCTGATCTACAAAGTGAGTTCCAGGGCAGCAAGAGCTATTATACAGAGAAACCTTGTCTTGAAAAAACAAAAATAAACAAACAAAATAAACAAAAAAATTGGGCAACGGTGGGACTATGAAATGGAAGGAAATATGGGGCACCTCACTAGCAAGTGGTATTACCAACTCCAGGATCCATGGGCAAACTCAAAAGAACTGAAATCTGGGTCTTGAAAAATTTTTATATATCCAGATTCACAGTTCTATTATTTATTTCCATTAACAGATGATTATATAATATTATCAGCCAGACACAAAATGATAAATATAGCTGGGAGGTGGCAGTACACACCTTTAGTTTATGCGCTTGGGAGGCAAAAGCAGGTGGATCTGTTAGTTCAAAGCCAGTCTGCTCTACCAAGTGAGTTCCAGAGCTACACACAGAGAAACAAGCAAACAAACAAGATAAATACTATGCAATTCTAATAAAGTGATTTCAAATTCATAGAATACAAAAATAAAAGGCTGATCACCAGAGGTGAGAGGGTGGAGGGGGAAAAAGAGGAAGCATTGTGCATGGTACATAGAGTTTCAGTTTTACAAGAAAGAGTTCTGGAGACAATTACACAGAGCCATGTGACCAACGTGAAAATGCATGCTTTGTGTCTTCACTGTTTTTTGTTTTTTGTTTTTTTTGACAAGGTCTCTGTATTTCAAACTCTCTTGCTATGCAGCTGAGAATGGCCTCAAACCCTTGATCCTCTTGCCTCTGCCACCTAAATGCTGTCATTACAAAAGTACACCACCATGCTCAGCTCTTGGAATTGTTATGATATATACGAACCTATGTATCTCTAATATTGGTGATTAAACCCACGTATATGTGTGTATGTATGTATATAATATGTGTGTATATGCATGTGTTTTGACATACTTTTATATTGTGTTTTGGTCTCAGGTATCCCAGGCTAGCCTCATAAATTTCTGGTCCTTCTGGGTCCACCTTCCAAGTGCTGAGAATACAAGGATGTGCCACCAGCCTAGTCTTATGTGGTGCTGGGGAACAAACCGGTGCCACCAGCCTAGTCTTATGTGGTGCTGGGGAACAAACCGGAGCCTTTGTATATGCTAGGCAGGTAACCATTCTACCAACATCCCCAGCCCTAACATAATTTTTTTAAAAAAATTTATTTATTTTTATTTTTTGTATATGTTTTGCCTGCATGTAGTATGTGCATGCCTGGTGCCTATGGAAACCAGAAGAGGGCATCCGATCCACTGGGACTGGAGCTCCAGGTGGTGGTGAGTCACTGCGTGCGTGCTCAGAACAGACTCAAGGTCCTCTGCACAGCAGCAAACGCTCTCAACCACTGAGCCATCTCTCCGGCTTCTCATAAAACAGTCTTCAAATAATTTTCAGACAGGGTCTCTGTGTTGCCCAAATTTGCAAATCCCCTGCCTCAGCCTCCCCAGCAGCTGGGATTGCAGGCAAACATCACTGTATGTACCTTGCAAAATAAAAACTTTTAACAGCAGATGTCAACGCATAGCTTATGGACTTGTAATGAAAACAGACTGGAAGGATATGTCTCAAAATATTTAAGGGGACCTAGTTTATCTAAACAAAAACAGGGGCTTACTGATAAAGGCCAGCTCACAGAAAAACCATGTTAAGTAAACAAATAGAATATCATAAAGTGCTTTGCTATGATGCTCACAATGTCCTCCTAGTAAACACAGTTTTCTCCAGGCCCACAGGTCAGCGATCTAACTCAGGAAGAACAGATTCATTCCAGACCCCTTAGGTATAAACGCCAGAACGGAGACCAGATGCTGGTCCTTTGGCTTTAATACTCTCCGCCTAGCTCAGACTCTCGCATCTTCCTTGGCCCTCGGCATCCACCGAGGCTCTCCAAAGCCCAGGCTCTTCTCTCATCTGTCACTGGAGCATCTGAAGGCTGAGTTACAGCTGTCTACCCTGCTGGTAGGGTAGATACAAGTGTACAAGCTGCCTTCTCAAATACACTCCCTAAGCCCTAGCTACACCCACACCCCCAGCTACTTCCTAGGGAAGGCTTCGTTGACAGAGGAGAGGGGCTATAGGCTGCATGTGACATGTGCCCCACAGGCTCATGTGTTTGAACACTTTCCAATAGCTGGTGGTGTGGAACACTTTCCATCAGAATGTGTGGAACCTTTACTAAAGGAGGTCTAGGTGCCAGACACAAATCACTAGGGCTGGGCTTTGGGGATTCTAGCCGAGTCAATTCTAATTCAGCTCTCTACTCCTTGATCAGCTACAGTGTGACAAGCAAGCCCCTGCACCAAGGACCAAGCTGCTCTGCCATACTGCCCCTTCTGTGACAGGCTGTACCCTCCCATACCAGAGGACAAAGCACACATCTCATTTAGGTTGCTTCTGTGGGGCTGCCAGGACACAACACAGGAAAACCACATGCTTTCTGCCTCCCCAGCCCAAGACCTCCTTCCTGTGGGGCCATCTTGCCTTAACTGCCACAACAGTAGAAGATAAACCTCTACCGTTTGTGGTCTTCCCAGCCCAGCTGGCATTTGGTGTAAGCTTGGTGAACTGGCAGTGAACACACCCAACCTTGTCCTGAGATGCCTCCTCTCTAGCTGGAAGTCAGCCTCTCATTCTGAGGCCCACAACCTGGGGCCCAGGTAGCAGCATACAGGGTGCATCCCTTCCTCACAAGCCAGACAGCCTACACCTTGGGAACGGAGCCAAAGCCAACACCTAATTCCTGCCATACCAGGAACATACAGCAAAACAAAAACCTGATACGCTACCATATCCTGGCGCAGGAGCAGCTGGTGCTCTTTTATTTTTAAAAAAAGTTGAATAAGCCATTAAAAAAACAACAGAATATTTTAGGATTGCCCTGGCAGGAAGTGAATAGAAACCACCTTCCCACACCTAACACCCCGAGGAGGAAAAGGCTCAGGCAGCAAAGCCGCTCAATTTCCGTCTCCCAAAGTTAACTAGATGTGAACAAAGGTCACGTTTCTTCAGAGCCGACAAGCTGGTCTTCCCAAAGCTGGGCAGGAAAGATGAAACCAGCTTGGCTGAAACAGAGGGCAGCTCTAGTCCTGAAGGACCCCTGGGGGCGCGGGCGGGGGGGGTCGAGGAGGGAGCCACAGTGATTCCAAATTAGGAAGCAATAACTAAGGTCTGGAAGGCTCCAGGTGATGCCTGGAGATGCAGGGGTCTCTGTGTCATCAGTACACTGAATGAATCCGAGAAATGGAAGGCACCGGCATGAGGAGGAGGAAGCTGTTTGCACACAATGGCCCTCTGAGCTAGATGTTGTAGTCTGGTGCCAAATACTGCAGGCTCAAGATGTTGAGAACAGACCTTAAAGCAACTTGGAGTTGGTCCAAACCTCAGGGCTTAGACTCGCAGAAAAGAGGGCAGCTTGTTACCCTGGGCCCACAGAGGTCTAGGACCCAGACCTTTGAAAGGGGAAGAGAACACTTCATGGTGGTATGACCCAGCATCAAAACTCTAGGACACCAACCATGATACCTGAGTCCTTCTGCCAGCTCTCAGTTCCCAATGCCCTGCAGACCCCTCAGTGTCTGAAAGAGATCCAAGGACTTTGAGAAACATAGTCTGTGGCTCAGGTTCCTCATCCATGGATCCTACGCCAATTGTCAAAGGCCAATAACCAAGAGTTCTAGGGAGTCCCAAAGTTGCAGACAAGGCCTCCACCGGTAGAGACCATAAGGTCATCTGAAGTACTCCCCTCAGCAGCAGCCCGTTCTTCACAAACCGTCCCCTTAAATGTCCAGAAGGCTGAGAGTCAGGGCAGAGTCTCTCATGAAACAGGCCTGGGGCAGCCAAGTAACCAAAGACATCATGGCCACTCAGAATCGATGGCTACAAGTTATGGGCAACCTTCTCTGGGGTTTCTACTTCTTGTTCTCTAGAGTTGGCAGTTTCCACTAATGTTAAGACCCCCTAAGCTAAGGACCAGACCAGGAAGGAAGGGCACCAGACAGCCCATGCCACCAGTTCTGGCAACATTACCTCCTTCTAGAATGCTGCTTCCCCTGGAGCCGCATCACACTTGCCCACTATTCCCACACGGGAATGGACCCAGCTGTTCACCCTCGGCGTCTCCAACAGGTGCCGGCTTAAATGACTGCTGGCAAGTGATATTTTCTTAATGGGATGTGGGCCAGAGACCTCAAGAAACAACATTAGAGGCCAGACCCCTGGAGGAAGGAGCCCACGGAAACGGACAGAAGAGGGCAAACACAGTGAAACTGGTTCCAAGTGAGTCAGAATAACCCAGGAAATGCCTGTGCAGGGGGCGCTTAAACTGTAGTGTTGGAATCCATGCATGAAGTAGAGAGAGAAGGGTACGACCGGCATGGACAATGATGCAAGAGAAAGCAAAAGGACAGAATTTCTGAAATGGAAGGTGTTTTCACAAAAGTATGCTTCTATTTTAGTGGAGGAAATGTATACTTGTATTGTTTTTGGCTTCTTTACACATGTATCCATCTGTGTGCACACAGCATGGAAATCAGAAGTTAGTTCTCTCCTTTCACCAGAGACTGAACTCAGGTCACCAAGTGTGGTGGTTTGAATGAGAATGGCCCCCTTAGGCTCCAGCACCATATCTGCCTGCTGCCATGCTTCCCACCATGACAACTGTAAGCAAGCCCTCAATTAATGCTTTCTTTTATAAGAATTGTCTTGGTCATGGTGTCTCTTCACAGCAACAGAATAGCGGCTAAGACATCTTGTGTGACAAGAGCCCTCACCCTCTGGGAATGCCACCAAATAAGAGGACCACTTGGCCAGTCCTTATTGTTTCTGAGTGAAACAATACCTGACACAGGCAATACCTCTTTTTACCCTTAGAGAAGTTGAATGGTCATGTATTTCCCATCCTATAGACACGTATATGTTACACATGATGCTCTTTGAACAACAGACACCCGAGATGACTATAGGCAGCCCTCTCTCAAGGTACCCAGTGAGGTTTAAGGTCAGCCTCTCTGCCTCCCTGGAAACAAGAGCCCCAGTCCGATAAGGAGGTGTACCTTAAGTCCTAGATGCCCTGAGGGTCACACTGACAAGCCCCTCTGCTCTGAAAAGGAACACGGTGAGTTGGGTATGCTTTCACGTCTTTGAGGATGGGTTAGAGAGATCAGAAGCCTGTCCTGAACCCCAGAAGAAGAACAGCACCTCATACTTGATCTCATCAGGTCTGCCAGGCTGGTGAGTTCAGGCTCCCCTCTAAACACTGCAGCTCTATGGTCTCCCTCTCAGTCCATGTGTGCACTGGGTAGCATAGCACCAAATTTGTAGAACCCCCCACAAATGGGTTATAGAGCTGTCGTCCTGGGCTGTGCAAATGGCCCAGTGATAAAGGACTTCTTGCACAAACATAAAGACCAAAGTTTGGATCTCCAGAACCCACAGAAATGTTGGGTTGGCACAATAGGCTGCCTGCAATCCCCTCTCAGAAGGTGGGGACAGGACCCTCAAGGCAAACTCTGAGAGGCCCTACCTCCATGAATAGGGCAGAAGAGCAATTGGGGATGATTCCCAACACCAACTCCAGACCCCACATACATGCATACACACACATGCATGAAGACCCCCCCACACACACACATAAACATACATCCACACATACAGGCATACAACACACACAAACATGAGTAGACTAAAATGGAAAAGGAAAAAGAAAGTTATAGTGTGACAGCCAGAAGTTCTGGGACTGGGTCAGGTTGGCTCATTCAGAGGCCACCCAGAATGAGAAAGAGGCTGACAGGCCTCTGGGGTATGGAGGATGCTAGTCCCAACAGAAGCTAACTCAGGTACTGGGTAAATGGCTTTCTTTCCATCAACCTCAGTTTCCTTATCTATAACACAAGGATTTGGTCTAACTCTTTTCTGCCTAGACTTCTGAGCACTACATCAGAGGTTGTCTATGAGGTCTGGTTGCCTAGGTTCAAATCCTGTGCTGTGAGCTCTGGCAGGAGCCACCAGCTCCAGCCTCAGCTACTCAAATAGAACATGGGAAGAAGAAAGCACAGACTCAGGGGTCTGCAGACTCAGGTGAGGTCATACCTGACTTGGAGTGAGGATGTAATGGCTACTAGTACAATTCTCAGTGAGTTCAGGGCTCTCGCTGTCACTACATTCGTGTTCTCAAATGAAGTCAGTCCAACCACCAGCGCTTCCCATTTCCCTGTGCGCCCTCTGGGTAAAGAGACCCCCAGATCCCACAGATTCAGTGAAGCTACAGCAGGCACACACTGAAGGCCTTGTGCATGGTCTCGGGCACACACAGGCTCAGGCAAACCCCAACATGCCAAGCAGCAGGTGTGGTCACTGCAACAGGACAAGCAGAGAGGAGTCAGGGAGGACAAGCAGAGAGGAGTCAGGGAGGACAAGCAGAGAGGAGTCAGGCAAGGGGCAGGGGTGGGACACATGCA